ATTACAAAAGATCAAGAAGTAAACAGTCCACACATCTGTTGAGCAGCAAGACAACAACATCCAACCATGCAACTAATTTACTGTTCATTTTCAGCCAAGTTTTCCCTTCTAATAAGAAATGACATGTATATATTCTGATAGGTTTCAAAGTTTTGGACTTACATGGACAATTCAAGAGCGTTCGCCAACAAAAGATTTACCATCATGACCATGCGTATAGACGTGTAAATGTAACTCGCTTGGTGTTGGATCTCGACCCTTTTCAATAGCCTTTACAAAAGAAAAATCACTTTTTAGATACAAAAATATCGATTGCATAATGTGTATTTAGATACAAGTGTATATATCAGACAACCTAAATATGTTACTTATATAATTTGTGAAATATATACTTACAAGTTTCTTGCGATGCTCTCCAATTGAGATAGATCCACCCGTGTAAGTCCCATCAACAACTTCACGGCCGCCACGACGATTCTTTGCATTTGTTTCTGACTTTTTCGTGGACTCATTACTTCCCCAAAGTTGTGTCCATCTTTCCCAAACATGCTCAGGTACAAAACCTAGCCTAACTCCTCCCCCTTTTATTTTAGAAATAAAATTTATGTATTTTATAGTGGCCTTGACCAACCAGTGTCTCTTCACTTCACTTTCACTAATAGAAACATCCCCATAGATTTTTTTCTGAAATAAATTTTGAAAGTAATATACCAATATCCTATCTATAAGTATGAATACACTTTCCAAACTTATCTACGATGAAAAGTAATACCTTAAATTCTCCAAAATAACCGTCTTTTACATCGTTTGAAACACTTTTCCAATTTATTCCATTGGGATCAACATCATTTCTGAAAGACTTGGTTATGAAACTAGAGCATATTATAGAAGGTTCCAACCTGTGTAAATTTGAAGACAATATTTGGAGTTTTATTATAATCAGACATTATATATGTGAGTGCTAACAAAAAGAATACTCAGATTATAGTAGGCTGCTGATTTTTCAGATCCATTAATTAGCACTGCTTAACAGGGAACCTTAAATTATAATTTGTTTACTCGGACTTGTGGATTCAAAGACTACCAATATTAACTATACTCAAGTATAAACAGGTTATGAGGATAAAAGCAAAAGAGTGGACTAACCCTGCAGAACTTATAAAAATAAGGGTCTGTGAGTGGTTACTACTAGAATCAGTATCAACTGTGTTTGTATGACCTCTTGAGTTGCTTTGAGTAGATAGATCACCTTCAGCAATTGGATTACTACAACCTGTTGGGATGCTCTGAGTAGACAGACCCTGACCTATGGGACTGCTCTGATTTGGTGTAACTGGAGGAGTCTCAGAGATAGTTGGGGTGGTACTTTGATCTGATGTTTCAACGGTTGTGGTACCACCTTGTTGAGGAGAAACTATAGTGGGCATAGAAATAGTTGGCATGCTTACATGAATAGCAGGACCACTCCTACCAAAGGACTTCCCACGACCTCTGCCTTGAGCCATACCTATAAAAAAATATAACAGTGTAGTTGGCTTCCTGAAAACTATAACAATGTAGTTAGCATCCTGAAAAATTTATTGTCATGTCTAAACAAAGAAACTTTCAGTGATGTGGAACTACAAACACAACAACGATGGATGGGAGCTACTTATCCAATGTCAAAACAAAATACAAGCAGACCCACATAGTATCATGCTGTATGAAAACGAAATGAGACTAGCAAATGACTATCACCAAATAGTTTGTTCCACCAAAAAAAGAAATATTGCAAAAACAGAAACTAGAGTCAAACATTTATCATTAGTATAAATCAAATTAAGCTACCTCATTGAAGTGTGCTGAAATATTAAAAATACCTCTAAAAAAGCTTGTAGATCAAGTGAAAACACTTATGCCTGCATATAAAAGAGTGAAATAGTTATCATTGAGTTTGGTTAGAGGATTTACACAAATAATGAGCTTCAGAAATCTATATCAGACTCTAAAAATATTGAATACAATCATAGAAAAGGATATTAGGGAACTGTAGAAGCCTTTTAAGAGACTGAAAAGTTGAATACCATTAGATCATGTGTTTCTGATAAGGCACCTAGGCCTGATGGTTACATTCTGTCATCAAAGCTGGTAGGTATAACACTAATGTAAAATGACCACAAAGCATAACATTTGTTTCAGTTTTCCCTGTACCAAGGAAAAGAACACAAACTCTCTTTGGATTGGCCATCAAAAACACCACACGTGGCACTAGAAACTCCATAACCAATGTAAAATGACCAATGATAATGAAAAGACAGTAGCTAAAAAGGGGGAAAAGGTGAATGTGGAGATTTCCTAGGCATCCAAAGCATCACAAAACAACTCTCATTCAAATGGAACATACAGTTACCTGGTATGTATAACACTAATTAATGCTACAAGTAGATTTAAATAAAGGTTAAAATAAGAAATAGAACACACATGGTCAAAATCCAAGAGTTACTGATTTTAATCACCGTAATTTGAAAAACATAAACTAAAGAAAATGAGAATATTTGGAGAAAACTTAATACAAACAAATTACGGTGAAAATACAAAAGTAGATTATCAAGCACTAGTCACTAGCTATGTCTTCTTCAAACTCTTCATCTTCCTGATCCTCTTCATCATCTTCATCCTCCTCATCCTCCTCAGTTTCCTCGGTTTCATATTCTTCTGTTGATTCTATTTGGATTTCATGATGCTCTTGCAATAAACCATCATCAATGGGTTCATCCATTTCCAGTGTATTCCCATTTGGATCATTTAAGAGTATGTTTTCATCAATGGAAACAGTCATATCTATCTCGTGGACTTCAACTTCATCAACTTGGAATGGAACATTCAGTTCTGAAGTTGTCTGCACTCCCTCATCAAGTAATTCAATAACATTTCGAGGTTTGACCTTCAATACAGCTACCCAGTCATCTTTGTCCTTTTTCTTTTTCGGATACGACACATAACACACTTGAGTTGCTTGCATTGCCAGAATAAAAGGCTCATATTTTTTATATCGACGACGTTGATTAATCTCAACCAATTTGTACTGATTATGCCTTTTGACACCAACATTCATAGTTGGGTCAAACCATTCACATTTGAATAATACAGTTTGCTTCAAAGGTGCTTCAGGGTATTCCACTTGTATAATCTCTTTTATCCGTCCAAAATAATCACCAAAATTTGAATCTGAGATATAAACTCCACTATTCATTGTTGATCTTGTGCTACCATGACATTCTGTGTGAAATTTGTATCTATTAACAAAATAAACAAAAAGACATGTAGCACTTATTAATGGTCCACGGGAAAGACTACTCAAGAATTTATTCTCTATGGGATTGCATCGGACCTATTTTGAAAAAATTGTAAGACTTAGTAAAATTTCCGAAGTCAAGTTAAGCACATTACCACATAAAAGATAGTAGTTTTGAAATTTTACAAATTCCTTGAACCATGTAGAGAAATTTGCTTCAAGGCTCTCATCTATTTGACCCTGAGATAGATTCAGAAATTCTTCTTGCAAACGTTGCATGAACATACTTCATCATAGTAAAATAAGTTTAATTTGATAGTCGTGAATAAAGATATGTTTATATCATTAAGAAAATACCACTAACTTTTGTTACCTCACAAATGGCTCAACCTCCTCACAATTTAGTAAGATATAAGTTTGGGCAACCTTGATTTCTTCAAGGGATAAATCCCTTTTTTTTGCTTCTCCCCATACTCGACCTGGATGGGAGAATATTGATAAATTTCCTTCAAGATCTTCCACAACACCACCATCATTATTACGTTCCACATTATGATTACGTGTCATGGCATGAGGTTCAAAATAATGAGAAAACAATTGTGTTGACTCTGTCATCAAGTACGCTTCACAAATGGAACCCTCTACACTAGCGTTATTCCCAATCATCCTTTTAAGAGTTCCCAATACCTAAATAAAGAAAATGGATGGACCATTACATTAGAAAATGAATGTATGGCAAACTAGTCATAAGTGACATAAAGTTTCACATTTACCTTTCAAAAGGATACATCCATCGATATTGCACTGGTCCAGCTATCCTTGCTTCATATGGAATGCGCACAGGAAGATGTTCCATTGAGTCAAAGAACCCAAGAGGAAATATACGTTCTAACTTGCATAAGATTTGTGGAATATCTCTCTCCAATCTCTCCATGTCATCCACTCGTAGAATGGTGGAAGTAAGATCTTTAAAAAATAAGCTCAATTCTGTAAGTGCCTGACACACATTACTAGGAAGTAGTTCATGAAAAGCAATAGGCATTAGTTGTTGCATGAACACATGACAATCGTGACTTTTCATGCCAAATATCCTTTTCGCATTTGTGTCTGGACATCTACCCAAATTGGAAACATACCTATCTGGAAACCTTAAGCCTTTCACCCAATTGAACAAGATAGCTCGTGCTTCCTTGTCTATTGTATATACAGCTTTGGGATATTTTCCACTACTGTCTTTTGCCAATTGAAGTCGATCACAATATTCTACCATAGCTTGACGTGATTGTGGATTGTCTTTGGTTTTGTCATCAAAATTAAGAACTGTGTTAAACACATTATCAAAGACATTTTTCTCAATATGCATGACATCAAGATTATGTCGAATCATGTTAGAACTCCAATAAGGCAAATCCCAAAAGATTCTTTTCTTTTTCCATCCACAAGACTTGCATAATCTTCGATTAACTTCGTTTGCATCTAAGTGTGTTACTTTCCTTATGCCCAAGTCACAAATTTGGTTCAATAATTCTACTCCTGTTCTATAGGGTGGTGATGATCTTTGGACAGTCTTGCCTTTACGAAAGTTCTTACGATCTCTCCTAAATGGGTGATTTTGGTCGAGAAACATCCTATGGCAATCAAACCATGATGTTTTTCTACCATGTTTCAATCTAAAGGATTGTGTTTCCTCCATACAATAGGGACATGCTAAATTACCAGCAGTACTCTATCTGGATAACATAGAATATGCTGGAAAGTCACTGATTGTCCACATTAAAGCTGCCCTTAGTTGAAAGTTCTGCTTTTTTGAGATGTCAAATGCTTCCACACCTATCTCCCATAACAAATTCAGTTCTTTTATCAGAGGCTGCAGATAAACATCAATTTTATGTTTGGGATTGGTTGGCCCTGGAACAATAACTGTTAAGAACATATAAGCCTCTTTCATACACATCCCTGGAGGTAAATTGTAAGGAGTGAAAATCACTGGCCATGAAGAGTATTTACTCCCAGACTGACTAAATGGTTGGAAACCATTAGTACATAACCCCAATCTTACATTTCTTGGTTCCACAGCAAAAAAATAATGAGTTTCATTGAAGTGCTTCCAAGCCTCAGAGTCTGATGGATGATGCATTACACCATCCTCTTTTGTATGCTCATGATGCCATCTCATGTCAGTAGCAGTAGCAGGGGATGCATATAATCTTTGCAATCTAGGAATCAAAGGAAAATAATACATTTTCTTATAAGGGACCAATTTCCTTTTACGAGAGCCGACACGACGCTTGTATCTCTCATGGCCACAGAATGTACAACATGTAAGGTGTTCATCATCACCCTAATATAACATACATCCTGATTCACAACAATAAATTTTTTCAACTGGCAAACCCAAGCTACGGACTAGCTTCTTGGTCTGATAATAGCTATCAAGAACCATGTTATCTTCAGGTAAAGCCTCTTTCAACAATTGCATCATTTGATTATAACCTCTCTGTGACATATTGTTCTCCATTTTAATATTTAACATCTGAGAGACAAGCACAAGTTGAGAGAGAGAAGAATCGGGATACAATTTTTGAGTAGCTGCTTGTAGCAAATCATATAATTTTTGAGAGTCGGGATTAGGATCTTCCTCCATCAAAGGTTCACAAGGATGAGTTGGCTGAGGTTCAATATTGCTAGAAGATTGCCAACTTGAACCTTGGGAAAAGTTGGGACACGAAACATCTAAAACCATTTGTCGGTATGGATTATCATATGTTAATTCAGGTTGATCACTACCATGCAAATCTTGACCTGAGGAAATCTCATTGATCACATCTTTTTCCCCTTGATGCTTCCAAACAAAATAGTTATCAACAAATCCAGTCTTATAAAGGTGATGTTTAACGATTTCAACATGCATGAATCTAAAGTTGTGACATTTTTTACATGGACATCTAACTTTGTCACCACTCAAGTGATCCTGTTGTGTACATGCAAACTGGATAAACTTATCTACACCGGTTATGAAACTAGAGTTTATAGCCCCACGACCATCCAATCTCTCATACATCCAACCACGCTCTAGATTATTCATGTTCCTGTCAATTCTTAAACAAACAAAACTTTTACTAAAAAAGCACTAGTTGATTGACCAAAAGGTACTCTAATTCATATTCATTAAATTTAGTCAAAATATAGAGATCGAACTAACAAAAACAGTTTCTCGAATTAGAATGAAATAGATTCATTCAACAACTTTCACAACAATTGGAATTTGATCTCTTGTGCCTGTGAATTAAAGAAATGAGGAGCTGAAACTGAAATTTCTCACTAGGAAAGCTGAAAAAAAGCTTACCTAAAAAAAAAAATTCCTTACTGAAGAATTCTAATTTCAGTCAACTTACAGAATCATAAAGCATTCTAAGTCCAACCAGCTTACTTTAGAGTATAAACTATATATACTTTCTTTTATAAATAAGGAACGAGTAGTACAAGCATACAAATAACGTACAAGCATACAAATAACAAAACACAAAACACATATAAAGAAACTAAATTTGCTTAAGCAAATTGGACACAATGACAACAAGCATCTTCCTAATTACATTTAGTAAAGTAAATACCTCGATAGTTAAATTTTGAGCTAAATCAGGGGTAAAAATAAAGAGTAAGGCTTACTTCCAGATCCTCTGATTAGGGTAGAACAGTAGTGCCTGCTATATTTTAACATCAGATTGTGCTGGTTATTAACAAGAACATGAACTGGAATGGAGAAAGTAACATCTTTGATTATGTAAGAATCGACAATAATTCACACTATCAGTGTAATTTAACATGAAAGTAGATTAGACACAATTATTATTAGATTACTTTTTACATAAAACATAAAACTTACAAAAAAAATCCTAACTTTGAAGTTTCTAATGCCTCATTGGTCTAAAAGGTGCAAGAAGCAAATTGAGAGCTCTACAAGAAACAAAAAGAAGCTGAAGCATTTCACTACGGAAAGGAGAAAGAAGCAGAGGCACAAAAAGTAACTGCAGAGGCTGATTTCTACAGACGTAAGCAGATAATAGATGGGGATTTATATGTAAAGATGAAGGAAGCCGAAGGACTTAAAGCTCTAGCAAAAGCCCAAGGGATTTGAAATTAGGCATCTTTGAACCATTTTTTTCGATCAAATTAGTTACTAGTTGAGCTCAAAACGTCAAATGACTACCTATATCTTAGAGCACCAACATTGAGAACCTTTAATCAAATGACAGAAAATAGAAGAACATTAACAAAGACCTGGCAAACCTAAATCAGAAAATAAATAATAGAACTCAAGACATCTAAAAAAAAATACAAACTTCACCATGCCTGATTAGAACCACTAGTCATCAGTCTAACTAGTCGTATAAAACTATAGATATTTCTCAAAAGAAATAACAGTAAAAACTTGTTCTTCCAGACTGAAAAGATATCACAATGGAACAATTGAATAGTTGTACTCAAACTGTTGACTTTGTAAATTAAGGAAATGATACTAGTGTTGTTGATGTGAAAAAGATGAACATGAAAATGGAAGTAAGAAAGAAGCTATGAAAGAATAATGAGTGATAGAAGAGAATGAATCAAGACAAATAAGATAGCCAAGCTATAAGAACATCACTGGTTCCTTTCAGGTGGAAGCTTTTTACTAAATTTTTTTTGTTCTTTACTTTTTTCTCTTTTCTTTTTATCTGTACTGGTTTTTGTTCATCACGTCATTTCCTTTTCTTCCAACACTGATATGAGATGGTTGAAGAAACATTTTCCTTTTCTAACTTCAACAGAAAATCTTTTTATGACAGTGGAAAGAAGAAGAAAAAGAGGAAATAGAACACTTACCGGATGTCTATGTCTTTCTTCGAGCTTCACATACACCGGATGGTATACCTTCAAAACAAAGGCAAATTAGAGGAAATAGATTGATAACGATCAAGGAAGGAAATGAATAAAGAAAGAAAGGATATGTGGATTAATACTCAAGTTATTGAAATTATAGGCAACAAGGGACTAAAACCCTCACCTCCCAATTGACTTCAACAACCTAAATTCAACCCAAGGAAGAATAATCAAATGAAACCAAGAATCACAAAGGGGTAACACTTTGATTAATCAAACACAAGAAGTTAACAAGCAATCCCAAGAGTTCACCCTAATTACTCACTAATTACTCACTAAGAAGATACTATAATTTGAGAGTCAATATTCAATATAGTCTAAGTCTTCCCAAAATAAAAGAGACTACTATTTATACTAAAAAAATAAACAAGACACTTTTTGACAATTTTACCCTTAATGAGATAAGGGCCTTGTTTGGTTGCCTTCTTTTGTGAATTCTTGAATTCATGAAATGGTCATTTCCACACATGGCCTCTTTCCTTCTTCCTTCTCATTTTGATGTACCTTACACACATTGTATGTTTTTCTTTGGTGACCTTCAAGCTCCTCTAATGCTTCCCTTTTCATGAACATTGCTTGTAGGCCTTGGAGATCCTTTGCTTGACTCCGTGTGAATGGTCTTGGGGGCTATATGCCACTCATGTTAGTGTCATCCATGCTGCCCATGTTATCATCCTCCCCTTCTTGAAAATGATTCGTCCTCGAATCCAAAGGATCACCTACAACACAAGGAGACAAATCACTAACATTGAAAACATTATGAACATTATACTCACTTTGTAGGTCAATCATGCAAGCATTGTCATTGATTCTCTTGAGTACTTTGAAGGGTCCATTCCCTCTTGGGCTTAGCTTCCTTTTTCGTACTTGTGGAAACCTCTCATTTCGGAAATGCACCCACACCCAATCATCTGGATTGAAGATCACTTCCTTTCTCCCTCGATTCTTTTGAATGGCCACCTTTGAATTGTTCTTTTCAATGGCCTCTTTGACCTTGGCATGAATGTTCATCATCTCCTTTGCCCTTTTCTTGGCATCTAGGCTCACAACAACATTGCTAGACAAAGGAATCATGGTTAATGGAAACAAAGGTTTAAAACCATAACATGCCTCAAATGGAGACATTCCAATAGAGGAGTGGAAAGACCGATTGTATGCAAATTCACTCAAGGGTAAATGGTCTTCCCAAGTAGTTGGGTTCCTCTAATCATGCATCGAAGCATGCTTCCAAGAGTCCGATTGACTACTTCGGTTTGTCCATCCATTTGAGGATGGCAAGAAGTAGAGAACATAAGTTTGGTACCAAGTGTACCCCATAGACTCTTCCAAAAATGACTAAGAAACTTGGAGTCCCTATCACTAACAATGGTTTGAGGGACTCCATGCAATTTAAGCACATTGATAACAAACAAAGATGCTACATGGGATGCATCATCACATTTATGGCATGGAATAAAATGAGCCATTTTAGAAAATCTATCCACTACCACAAATATACTATCATGTCCTCTTTTAGTCCTAGGAAGTCCCAACACAAAGTCCATAGAAATATCCATCCACGGACCATTTGGAGTAGGAAGAGGAATATACTTACCTTGGGGCCTAGTTGTGGATTTGGCTTGCTTGCATTCTAGACATTGTCCACAAATCCTCTCCACATCATGCTTCATCTTGGGCCAAAAGAACTGCTCCTTAAGAATATCAAGTGTTTTTGGTACCCCAAAGTGTCCCATCAAACCACCACTATGAGCCTCCTTGACAAATAACTCTCTCCATGAGCTCATGGGCACACATGCTCGGCCATCTTTGAACAAGAAACCATCAACCAATTGGTACCTATCAACTCGCTTCCCTTGACTAAGATTATCAAAGGTATCTTTGAAGTCGGAATCCATAGAATAGAATCCCTTTAAGCTTTCAAACCCCATCATTCTAGAAACCAAGGTATTGACCAATACAAACCTTCGTGATAGAGCATCTGCTACCACATTTTCCTTGCCTTGCTTGTAGTTGATCAAATATGGAAAGGTTTCAATGAATTCAACCCACTTAGCATGTCGCTGGTTCAACTTGGATTGCCTCTTGAGATGCTTCAAGGACTCATGATCGGTCCTTATCACGAACTCTTTGTGCCACAAGTAGTGTTGCCAATGAGCCAACACTCGCACAAGTGCATACAATTCCTTGTCATAAGTTGAGTACTTGAGTGTAGCTCCCTTTAACTTTTCACTAAATAAAGCTAATGGTTTTCCTTCTTGCATCAACACACCACCTATACCAACACCTGAAGCATCACATTCAATTTCAAAGGTCTTGTCAAAGTTGGGTAGTTGGAGCAAGGGTGCAGAACTCAACATCAATTTCAAGGCTTGAAAAGACTTCTCCTGCTCCTCACCCCATACTAAAGGTACATCTTTCTTGATCAGTTCGGTCAAAGGAGCAGCAATTGAACTAAAGCCCTTCACAAATCACCGATAAAAACTTGCTAACCCATGGAAACTTCTTACCTCAGTTGCACTAGTTGGGGTCAACCAAGTCTTGATGGACTCCACCTTCTCGTCATCAACCTCAATCCCATTTGCACTAACCACAAAACCCAAAAACACAACTTTATCAACACAAAATGAACATTTCTTGAAATTAGCAAAGAGACGCTCTCGTAGTAGGACATCAAACACTTGTTTCAAATGGGATACATATTCCTCCATTGTCTTACTATACACAAGTATGTCATCAAAATACACCACAACAAACTTGTTGATGAAGGGTTTGAGAACATGGTTCATCAATCTCATGAAAGTTCTTGGGGCAATCGTCAATCCAAATGGCATCACAAGCCATTCATACAACCCAAACTTTTCTTGAAGGCCGTCTTCCACTCATCACCCAGTTTCATACGAATTTGATGATACCCACTTCGATGGTCAATCTTGGAGAAAATAATGGAACCACATAGCTCATCAAGCATATCATCAAGTCGAGGAATGGGATGTCGATACTTCACCGTGATCTTATTTACGGCTCTACAATCAATACACATTCTCCAAGTGCCATCCTTTTTGGGAACAAGAATTACCGGTATGGCACAAGGACTTAGGCTTTCCACTTGCCTTGATAGCTCTTTGGTTTCTGCCGGGTTACTCCTATAAGCTGGACGATTGGGGATTTGTGAACCCGGTATAAAATCTATTTGGTGATCGATTCCCCTCAAGGGTGGTAATCCAGCGGGCATCTCATCTGGAAATAGCTCATCATAGCCCTGCAAAAGAGAAGAAATAATACTAGGCAAAGTGCTAGTATCTTGGTTAGCATGTAACAAAATGTTGGTGTTGACAAGGCACACTAGAAAGCATTCCTCATCCACACCCTTTAAACACTTGCTTGGCTTTGCTATCATGCACATGTTCTTATTATTTTTAACCAAGGCACTCCCCTCCTTTGGAACGATGGTGGAACTTTCACCTTCACCTTTTGCCGCCTCATCTTTTATTCTCTCCTGAAGCACCTTCATAGCCCGATAGTCCTCATTCACTTGATATGGAATGAGAGGTGCAAGCACATACTTTTTACCTTCAATCACAAAAGTGTATTTTTTGGATCTCCCTTGGTTTACAACATCTCTATCAAATTGCCAAGGTCTCCCCAACAGTAGGTGACATGCCAACATGGGAACCACATCACAAACCAATTCTTCATTGTACTTTCCCACACTAAACCGAATACTTGCTTGTTTAAGGACCTTCATCTCTCCACTCTCGTTGAGCCATTGTAGCTTATAAAGATTGGGATGCTTGCTGGTTTGTATTTTCATGCGCTCCACTACGGAACTACTCACCACATTGGTGCAACTCCCGCTATCAATGATTAAAGAACACACTTTATCTTGGATTTTGCACCTAGCATGAAATAGATTCTCCCTTTGGTCAAGTTCTTCTTTTGCAAGGGCTCCCATAATTCTTCTCACAACACATGAAAGATTGACATTCATGTTCAAGTCTTCATCATCAACAAGCAAAGACTTTTCCTTCTTCATGAAGCAAGCAAAATTCACCCTCTCGTCCAACCTTTTTTCTTCATCCCCTGAAGCACCTTCCTCTCCTTCACCCCTATCTCCCTCTCCCTCATTTTTTTCTTCACCCTCATCTTCATCTTCAGTCTTATATCCATCACGAAGAGCAACAATTGTTCTCCTATTTGGACACTCACTAGCAACATGTCCCCTCCCTTGGCATCTAAAGCATTGAATTGTAGAGGGTCGAGGAAAGTTAGGTTTAACATAGTTACCTCCTTGTGGTTGCTCACTTGCCTTGGATTTGTAATCAAGCTTGACTTGGGCAACTTGACCTCCACCTTTAGGTTGCTCCCTAGAGGATGTGGTCTTCCAATTATCTTTACCTTTGCTCCATGTGGAAGTTAAAGAACTTTTGGCCTTGTATGACTTTTCTTCTTTCAAATCTGCTTCTACCTTTGAGGCATCATGGAAAGCCGCTTCAAGAGTCTCATAGTGCTTAAGCTTCAAGGGCTTCAAGATATCATACCTCAAGTTTGCCACGAATCGTATCACCGTACATTTCATATTCTCTTCAATTTTAGACTTCATCCGCAAGTTCTCAAACTCATCATAATATTCTTCCATAGTTTTGGTACCTTGCCTCAACATGTACACCTTCTTAAGCACCTCTTGGTAGTAGTTTGGAGTCAAGTATCTCAACTCCATAAGTGCAATCAACTCGTGCCAAGTAGGTAACTCGTAGTTATGATGGCTCTCCCTTTCCCTCCTCTTGGACTCCCACCAGGTTGATGCGTACCCCTAAAATTGCGTGAGAGCATACTTCGCCTTCAAAGTTTCTGAGATATTATTTGTGAGAAACATCCGCTCACTTTGAATTTTCCATTCCAAGAACTCATCGGGGTCACTACTTCCTTTGAACCTTGGAAGTGTGACCTTGATAGTGTTCAAGCCCCTATCTTGATGATCATTCCTCTCCCTAAACCTATTTCTTCTATTTCCCATCCTATCGCCTCTATATCCCATCCTATCTGCTCTATATCCCATTCTATCTCCTCTATTCCCATATTCTTGATCTCCCATGCCTTGGTCCCACCCCAAGTCCCAAGGTCGTACTCCTTCCCTTCGTACTCCATTTCCATCCCTACCCCTAAGCTCCCAAAACTCATCATTATTGAACTCCTCATGAATTTCATGATAGAGAGGATTTTGGTATTGGTAGTCTTGGTAGGGCATTTGTGGTGCATTTTGTGGATGTGATGTGGGTTCATGAAAAGATGCATTTGAATCATTTCGAAATGGTGTTTGGTATTGGACTTGGCTGGCCACAAAAGGAAGATTCTCCTGTGGCGGGTGATAGGGTTGCGGATTTGGATGTGGCGTAGGCTGTCTTAGGTGGTTTGGAGGGTTGGGAGTTTGGAAAGTGGGGCGTTGGTAGTTTCGCGTTCGGCTTTGTCGAGGAGAACATAGATTATGAGCTTGTCCCAGAGCAAGGGTGGTGGAATGCACCGATGCCCTCCTTATCTCTTCATATTCGGGTTGAATTGCTTTCCTTCTATTCTCATTTTCCACCCGTACCAACCTTTCCTCCATACCTCCCATCAAAACTCAACAAACGAGATTAGTAGAAAAGCCTCACGTCACTCGTATGTAGCTCTCAACTCACCTTCTATGGCGTCGTCTCAAAATTGATAGTGAACTAGCTCCGTTCAATCAACTCAAGATCACCTATCCTTTGTGATGGAGTGGATTCTTGCGACTCTTGAAAGAAGGACGACCCAAAAAAAGAAAAAAAAAACTAACGAACTTGAATCAAGAAGGTTATCAACGAATTAAGATGACAAAAGTAGAAGAAAGAAGTACCAAAAAAAATTCGGACTCAAAATAAACCAAGTAACAAAAGTAGAAGAATTACTTCTTGTTACTTACTTTGAAGGATCAAAGAAAAGATTTGATGATTAAAAACTAGTTAAAAGTAATTAAAGATGTTAATTGATTGTTAAATAGCTGAAAATTAGAAGAAAAATGAGTTTAGAAGAAGAAGAAGTGAATTTGGACACTTAGAAAAAAAATTATGCCTCAAAGAAGTCCATCACTTGTAAGACTTTGATTGGATGATTTGATGATTAAAACTAGTTAACAAGTAATTAAAGATGATAATTAATTGTTAAATAGTTGGGGAATTGAAGGGAAAAATGTTAGAAAAAAGAATCACGAAGTTTGGACACTTAGAAAAGTTTCTAGGTCCAAAAACTTTCCATACTTAGAATATTTTTGGGGTCTTAAAAAAAACCTGCAGGTTTTGGTCTCTGAAACTGACGCACACGCGCGTCAGGTGCGACTGGGCATCGCTGGAAGGTTGTCTGCTGCGCTGGCTGCTGATGTGTCGGTCCACGTGGCAATTTTATTTTTTTTCCAGATTTTTTTTTATTTCTTTCTTTCTTTTTTTCAAAATTCCACTAATGGACCCCAAAAAAATACCTTTGACCAACTTTGACTTGAAAAGTTGGATCAAATGTACTTTCTTCTTTCTTCTTCTTCAAGAGCAAGTTGAAGACACCAAGAACACATAGAACACCAAGAACACACACTAAACCCCAATACACTCAAATCAACTCGAAATTGGCTCAAAATTTAGGATTTTCATCCCTTCAACTAAGAGAACAAAGCCCATTAATTATTAACCTCCAATTTCTCCTCAATCAAAGACCCATTTTCAAAATTTGAAAAGTTTGAAAAGCTTGAAACCCTTCAATGGTAACTTCACTTCTACAACTCCAAATTGAACAAAATTTGAAACCTAGACTCAAAAAACACTAGGGAACAAGGATCTAGTGTCAAAAACAATAAATCAAAATTAAAAAAAAATCAGATCCTTTTTTTTTTGACAATTTTTTTGGACTCTTTTTTTAAACCAAGACTAGATTTGTAAGAACAAATCTAAACCTAGGCTTTGATACTAAATGATAACGATCAAGGAAGGAAAGGAATAAAGAAAGAAAGGATATGTGGATTAATACTCAAGTTATTGAAATTATGGGCAACAAGGGACTAAAACCCTCACCTCCCAATTGACTTCAACAACCTAAATTCAACCCAAGGAAGAATAATCAAATGAAACCAAGAATCACAAAGGGGTAACACTTTGATTAATCAAACACAAGAAGTTAACAAGCAATCCCAAGAGTTCACCCTAATTACTCACTAATTACTCACTAAGAAGATACTATAATTTGAGAGTCAATATTCAATATAGTCTAAGTCTTCCCAAAATAAAAGAGACTACTATTTATACTAAAAAAAATAAACAAGACACTTTTTGACAATTTTACCCTTAATGAGATAAGGGCCTTGTTTGGTTGCCTTCTTTTGTGAATTCTTGAATTCATGAAATGGTCATTTCCACACATGGCCTCTTTCCTTCTTCCTTCTCATTTTGATGTACCTTACACACATTGTATGCTTTCTTTGGTGACCTTCAAGCTCCTCTAATGCTTCCCTTTTCATGAACATTGCTTGTAGGCCTTGGAGATCCTTTGCTTGACTCCGTGTGAATGATCTTGAGGGGTATATGCCACTCATGTTAGTGTCATCCATGCTGCCCATGTTATCATAGATGAAGGAGACGGGAAGCTGAGGTAGAGGAAAAATTCAATCGAAACTGCAATTTTAAACCCCAAATCACCTAAATCAGTATATTCAACACCAAAATACTCAAACTAAATTAAGTTCTACAAATGAACCATACAACACTAACCAACTCAAGCGTATTAGGTAAGACAAAAAATCCTTCCTGATTTCACTGAATCAAATCATTTCGAGGTTATTTTTAAAGCATAAAACGTATTTAAACACACAAATAAAACAAACAATTTCAGAAAATAATAGTAACATTTTCAAAAGCTAAAAGGAACTCCTATCTACCAAAGATAATATATGAAGATAAGAGAAATTACGTCAAAGTAGAGAAGCAAGGTCTTGCAAGGTGAAAGACTTGTCCCGTGAGAATTGCACAAGAATATTAGTAGTTGTATTATCAAATGAAAGCAGACATAATTTCATACATCTAAAATGCTAAACTGATGCAGCAATGAAAAAAATATATTAAAAATCAAAGATACCTAGTTCGTTCAAATGAAAAACTAACAAGTTAACTACTCAAATAAAATATAAGGATGTAAAGATGGATACCAAGTTGAAGAGTATGTGCAAAAGCAATAGTTAGATAGTTGTCTCTAAACAAATGGTGCATATTATAAACATGTACACCTAGAACTACCTATATATATAGTAATTATAAAACTTGGAAATAAAAGATAGAAAAGAAGAAGCTAAATTAATGCTCACTAAATCAGAAGCTAAAATGCTCTTCAAGCTATTTCGCCAAATCTAAAAAGAAGTTACTCTATTGTATACTTAATAACTTAGTAGCTATTAAGTATAATAAATAAACAAGAGACGAGTTTAAGGAAAGAAAGGATAACTAGTAGCTATCAAATAAAACAAAAGCAAACATATACTACTTTAATAACTGCTGAAAGAAAATTCAGTGACTTCCTAATTGTTTACATCTAATCTTTTATGAATTGAACAATAAGGCCAACAAAGATTGACCTGTGACATTTTATTTAACTCACCAAGAACATACACATACTTATACCAATATCAAACCTTTTAACAAGGCCAAACTTTAAGGACTTAAAAAGATTGAAAATACAAGCAGAACAACATGCCGAGATGATCAGAAAAGAGATATAGGCAACGACTTTGAAAGCAAACTACAATCTGGACAGTAACATGACTTCACACCTTATAAGCTTAATTACAAACAGTGGGCATTTTTCACTAAAATTTAGGCAGATGGAAACATAAATTCAATTCGTAGAATGATCAGGGGATTTGAAAACAATCTACTACATCAACAAAACAAAAACACAAACAACTTTCACCTTAGTTAGCTTCAAGATTCTATACTTATTTTGAAAAGAAAGCATCATTAATAGTAGCAAAACTGAATGAAAAACCTGGGCTTACAGACAATGAAAACGAAGAACAGAGATTCTACGACATATCGAAGAGGAGTCACCGAAAAAGGATTCAAACAAAGGAACAAATAAGGGACAATACTAAATACTAAACGACAAAACCCAACTTCCACATTAATATGAATCAAGCAAATCCATTAAGAACACATATATAACAAATTGAAGTCATCAGTTCTCATCTACAAACAACAGTGACACAACAACAGAGTAGCGAGACATATCAGAAATAGAAGAAGACGAGGAGAAAATTATGAAGGAAACGTTACCTTTCTCTGGGCAGCGACTATACAGTGACCAGCTTGGAGACTAATTCACCACCAAAATAAGATTTCAAGAATTTCGCTGAGCAAAGCAGAAGCAAGAGAGGTTAGAGACTAAACAAAATTTGAAAAACATTCAAAATCAGAAATTAGAGCAAAGTATAGAAGCAAGCGAGTGCACTACATTTAATTTTGGCATATCCCTGATAACCACATCCCGTTCCCTAGTTGTTTTTCACCAAATAGAACTCAACGCCCTCCTCTTCATCGCACTAGAAGCTCACCGAACAGATGAAAAAAGAGAAATTACCAAAGGCAGAAGCTCACCTTTCACCTGAGGATGAAGGAGACAGGAGCAATTTCACCTTTCGCCTGAGGATGAAGGAGACAAGAGCAATTTCAC